CTCGATTGATACTGAGCCAAGTCACTACAGACGAGCTTGATGCTGCCTCCAAACTTCTTGATAAGGCATGTCAAAAATTCCGAGGTATCTCAGATGTACCACCTCAGAGAATCACTGACCTTAAGACTGCCATACATCAACTACGTCGATTGAGCTGCATTTTGGACTGTTGCACAATTGCTGCCAGCTACGAACTTAGTCAAGCGCAAAAAGCACTGCTCATGCCGCGTACAGCCACATCATCCTTTTTTTTCTCTAATGCGGCCGATCACGCTCTAAGGCTCGGTTCTGACATGAGAATGAGGTGCAAGCACATCATCCGATGAATTGAACGCACAGGTGTCACTGCCAACAGATGATGAATTTTCAAGATCAAGACCAGCTCTACGAACACTGGCGCGCTGAGGAAGCTGGGAACATCATGCATCCCGCAAGAAGGCTATCTTCAAGCACTGATGTCTTCCCACGTAGTATGATGATCGGAAAAGCACTACTGAGCGGATTCTGAGAGTGCCCTGAGTGTCTTAGTTTGCTTGCTCGACATCACTTCTCACCCTAGATCCTTCTCACCGCCGTTTTGATTGTCTCACCACTTCAGTTGCTGCACGGCGTTGTCGTCGCTAGCATCGAAGTGTTTTATGTTTGTGAGTTGTTATGCCTTGATGGCTTGCTCTGTGTGATCTCGGAGATCCTGGCTGGGGGGATCCCTGGTTTCCCGCCCGCATAGTGTTGTGTTGCTTCACTCACTCGACGGTATGGCAATGTGATTTTTGTGTCTCTGTTTTCTCTCTTTTCTTGTTTTTGCCATGCCAATACCTGAGTTGACACAATGCTATCACCTCATAACTGGTTGCTTTTGGTGTTGTTTGGTTGTTTGCTGTGTTTCTGCAATGGAATCGTGACAGCGGCTGGACTATGTACAGGTGCCATACCAGTTCACTTTGTGGCCCACAACCAATGGCGGCTTTTTGTGTGCATTAATTAGTTAATTTACCGGTTCTATGCAACATGCAACTGGACGTGTTGAACGACCTGGCGAAAGCCAAGAGGCGTTGGACGGAACTCTTTACAACTAAGTGTATATGCAGTTGGAGGTTCTGAAAGTCACTCTAACTTGCACTGGATGCAGTGTTGGCAACTTCGGCTTTTGCACTGACCAGTTAGAGCAGAGGAATTGGCAATCTGTCCTAGATTAGAAGGGCATGGTTTTGTGGTTGCCGTTTCTGGACACATGCAAATCCTCTTAGCAAACTCTCTTTTTCATTTGGGAAACTCTCTTTTTCATTTGGGAGGGTCCCTTGCCTCTCAAAACCCACCTACCTACAGTAGATGCAGTAGATAGAATACGGCTGTGGCCGAGCTGAAAAATGTGGTACTTGGTACCAACAAATGGCCTTTTTCACAATTCCTCCAGTTTAATCTTTGGTATTGAACATGTTTTCTTATTCTGAAACGTAAATGATGCCGTGAGACCTCCATTTATAGATGATTTTACCATTAAAGCCTCCATCCAGTTTTTCCGTCAATGGACGAAAGCTCCTGCTGGTCTTTTTCCGCCAATGCTCAGTAGGACTTGATTGGCGAATGTCGGATGCTGGCGATGTTCCCCTTTCTCCCTGCCTTCGTTTGCCGTATACGGATCATTTCGTGGGATAAAATCAACGGGTTAGAGAGAGAGAGAGAGAGACAGAGATCGTTTTCCAAATTTGGGGTGTGACCAAAATTTGAGAAAGATTGTATGAACCATTATTCATGAGCCATTATATCCGATTATGAGCTGATTCATGCAGTTGATCATGTCCTCAAAAAATGCCGTTGCCATGTTCTCCTGGGGAGCGATGATAAACTGATAACTGGAGCCACAAGTTCTGTAGGAAGATACCAGTTGGCTACCATAAAAAGTCTCAAATCGAGGGATTTCTTGGGCTTTTCTTGTATTGTTTTTCCCTGTGTTTTTTGTACTTAAAGGCTTCTGCCACTCGCTCAGGTGGGGGTTAAATGTTCGATCCGCCAACTATCCAATTCTGTCATGTCTTGCCAATTTTAAATATTCAGCATCTTTGTAGTTGATTTCAACTGTTCCGCTGTATGGTGGTGGCTGTCTTGGGCTCCTGCTCCGTTCGGTTGTGCTTTTTGTTGAGAATCGACGAAACGCAATTCTGGCTGGGTAATTGCGGGTCTTCGACTTCTCGGTTGTTTTGCTTTGTTTGTTGTTGTTTCTGCGTGGCTACCATGACAGCAATCTCTTTTGATCAGCCCGTCAGCTGGATGCACCTTAATTTTCGTTTCTGAGTTTCGTGACTCATTGGCAGCTTTTGCTTCTCACATGACCATCTCGCGATTAACTGATAAGCATTAGGACCGTGCCATTAGAGCATTGCGGCCGGTACCCGAGGAAAAAAAAATGTGTTGGTTTGCAAGTTTGAAGCAAATGCGCTGAAACAAATCATACCCCCATCTACATCTACAATTGCCTTCAAGCTACGCAATGTTTTCACGCAAAGCAGCAATGGCCCACCAGGAGCATCCAGGGCATGCACTCCAAGACGGACATGAACCCAATGCCGTGCATGAGAGGCATCGAAAGTTCAAGTTCGGCAATGGCACGGAGCAGCGTGCAGTTTCTTTTGTGGAGCTACCTCAATTCCTTGCCGGCAATGATGTCCAAACTTGCTGAAACAAATATTCATAATGACTTCCAAGGCTTCCAAAGACGCACCTGTTTCTGTTGCACCAGTCCCTATCACAGCAAGCCCAGGATGTTCCAAAGCAACTGTTGCCAGGATATCACCTAAGCCTTTTGTCTTCACCATCAGAGTCTTTCGCATTGGAAACCATGAAAATAGAACGTCCAACAAAATAGTTTGTTCCTGCAGGAGGGGATGCGTGTGTCGAAACGTTTAGGGTTGCACCAGACGCATAAGGTTCCTCTTATAAATGATTTTTCTGAATTTGCAGTCAATCAAACGCTTTCTGTCCACGAGACGCCGGTGTTGCATACAGTGGATGTGGCTTGTGCAGCAATTTCTTATTTGTTTGGGTGTTGTGAGAAAACCGGTGAGGACGCCTCCTTAGTGGAGAGGACTGTCGACCTATCAAGCGCTTAACGCCAGGTGGGGCTGAACGACGCTGGAAGGTCCCATGCTTACATCAGAGCGTACAACCCTACAAAGGGAAATTGGTCGATTTTTCAGGCGCAATTTTTGCCTTTTGGTGCAGTGAAGAGTGTGCATGTTTTTCTATGCTTGGCAAGAGCTGTTTGGTGGCTTGGTGCAGTCGGTTGCTACCTGTTTTGGTCCTCCTTCTTTGACGACTGCATCGTCTTCTCACCTCCGAAACTTGCAGGTAGTCCAGAACTTTCAGCTATCGCCTTGCTTAAACTTCTGTGTTGGATCTTCGCTGAAGATGGGAGGAAGTGCAATCTTTTTGCTGTTCGTTGTGAAGCCTTAAGCCATGTCTTTGACTTGTCGGATTCAAATGCTGGAATGTGACCAACACTCAATCAAGAGTGGAGGAGGTGTCATTGGAAATCCAACGTGTGCTGGAAGCTGGTAGCACAACGCAACTTGAGGCCCAGAAGTTTCCGGGGAAAAATGCAATCTGCAGAGTCACAGATTTACGGGCGAACTGGTAAGAGGTGCATTGTTGTGCTTCGTGATTTTGCATGTAGGAGGAGATCAAAAGTCTGGTCGTGACGCAATTTTTCTTAGATTAATTATTCGTGAGCTTGCTGAGAGCGTGTTGTTAGTCGCAGTCAGCATTTATTCAATCGTGATGTTTACAGATGCTTGCTGTGAACCTGAATCTCGTGACGGAGTATGTGGTTTGGGAGGTGTCCTGATTGTCCTGATAGACGCCTTGTTTGGCATCAATTTATTTCTTTTGCGTTTTGGATGAGGCCCCAAGGTGTTCTTTGGGGGAACTGAACAAGAAACAAATAATCTTTGAAACTGAAACGCTCAGTGCGGTGTTGGCTTACAGTATTTGGACGGATTGCATTTCTGAGAGGAAAAATTCCTTTACGTTGACAACGAGGGCAAAACGAGGGTACAAAGTTTTCTTTGATCAAGGGTTCCTCAGAGAATCTGGTTGTTGATGTGCTGGCGCAAATCTTTGCAGAAATTGAAACACATGTACGTACTGCTTGTTGGATTTCTAGTGTGACTTCCAGCAGCTTTGCAGATGAACCTTCACGAGGTGACAATCAGCGCTTGATCAAACCTGGTTTCAAAGATGTGTCAATGGAGGCTTACAAGTGTGGGTATATTTTCATGATCGTGCGGCATCGAAACACAATTTTGGAATTTCCGTGATCATTTTGGAAGTGATCAGCATCAAACGACGCATCTGTCAAATTCAATGCCAACTTCGTGGTGTACAAAAAACATGCTGAGACACTTTTCACTAATTGGGACAACGACAAATCGTTGATTTTGGATGTGTGACAGTGTCCACATGTTGATTAAAATCATCATATTTTTGACATTGTATTGTGTGTGACGCATGATTTTGCACAACACCGGCTTTGGAAACCGCCTACAAAATCCAGTTGATGCTTGGAAATGTTTGCCCTGAACACAAAACTGTATTTGGAAACCAAAATTGATGAATTGTGAGCATCTTTCGAAACATCAGGAACACGACGCGCAGATTTTCAACACACACGTTTTCTTTTGGTCGTTTGGATCTTCAGTTTCTTGTTGATTGCTGTGTGTCGACTTATGTTTGTCCATAGATTCTGCAAAAACAAAGGTTTCAAATTTTGTGTGTTCCATTTTTGGTTGGTTTCATGGTATACTGTATGGCGTGTTTCTTGCACGTGTGTTTGCGTGTATTCAACTGCTTGTGGACAGACATTTTCAGCTTGCGCAAAATTTATCAGCAATTTTTTCAGTGGTACTTTGTTCATGGATCGCACCAACCAGCAACATTTTGCATGTATTTGTCTGTTTTGTGAATTGTTCATTGCCCCTGAGTCCGCGTTTTGTGATTTACGCGCCATGTCGAGAGCTGCGCCTGCATCCGTTCCGAATCTCAATGCTGAACAACCGGTTGGATGTTTTTTTGTTTGTTGACTAGTTTAGCTACAGTGACTGAGGCTGCAGGGGTGCATCTCATGCACCAGCAGTCGAAAAAGAGGCTTTGCAAAATGGGGAACCATAAATAATTTGGATCTAATACTCCCAACAAACTCAGCACAATTTTATCGGAAAATATGCATTTTCTTTTGGGGGTACTATGCAATGCATGGTCATTTTTTAAATAGTCGAATTTTTGTACGGCGTGTTGCATGCAATTTGGCAGGCCAGTCAGCAGACAAGAGGCACACAAATGTATCCCTGCGATTGTGAATTGTGATCTGTAGACAGGTAAAAAAATGGTTTCATCATCTGTCCAATATTGTTGCATTCACAACGTTTGCAAACCAGTCTGATCAGCAGTTGGGAGATGTTTTCCCCGTTGTCAGGTCGCTGCTTTCGATCCACATATAACCATTGAATCCATGGAACGAATCATCAAGGCTAGCTGTTTATGTTGTTTACTTTTTGAGTTCGCGTGGTTTCCCATTGAATGATGTCGCGCCTATTTCACTGTGAACTCGCAGTCCTCTTCGGCGGTGGAGAATTTGGTCACAAATTTGGTTGGACAGCGTCGGCCTCAACGGATCGGATACACCAAGCAGGGGCCGACACCGTGTGGTAAAAACCACGTTGTGGCAGGAAACTGGGCCAGGAGCGACATGGAGCGACAGCACAGTTCCAGGTTTCTGGAGGAACATTTTTCATGTCCTGTGCGTTCTGTGCAGTCACGATTTTTGACGTGTGCAGGAGGAAAAACCAGCGAAACCGACCCCAGTGGATTCGAAATGCTTTCAGAACTTCATTTATTGTGACCTTGGAATTGTTATCAATTGTGCATGTTCACCCACAGACCCTGATAGTTGTGGCATTTCCTGTCAAAACTTGTGTGTGGACGTCCAAAGAGGTACAATCATGCTGAATGCTTTGACACTAGGCCTTCAGGCTCGATGCACACAGAATGTTTCATGTTTGTAATTGTTTGTAATTGTTTGTAATTGTTTGTAATTGTTTGTATTGCTGATCAGAATCTATTTCTCTATTATTCTCTGTTCAATTGCACTTGCTATGATTGCTATTGTGTCACAACTCCACCTCACCAGTCACCACTAAGTCACTAAGCAGATGTTTCCGAGGGAGGGAAATTGCTTCCAGGCGGACTTACAAACTGGTGGATGGACTTTGTCCGGCACTCCCAGTTTTGACAAGAGAAACTGACGGACTGCCCGGACCAAACTGCTCACTGAATTTACCTGGCGAAATCCTGTCAAAAGACTCAATTACCAGAGCCTGACAAAAGAGTTGCATGAGATGAAGGAATAAAAGTAACATCTTTCAACTGTATTGGGATTCTTTGCATGCAACATCAGAGCGGCAAGACTGAGGGTTTGGTTTATATTGGAGAATATCTTCACAACAATCTTTGCTGCTGAAATGGCCAGAACCTTTGCTTCTCTGCTCCACACTTCGAGATCTGGTGCAAACAGAGAGCGGTGATGAGATTCAATGCAGTCTTGCAATCTGCCCCTATTTGCCAAGGTCATCAAAATCTACTTTTTACAGATGGGTTATTTCTGGAATGCAGCTGTCTTAGCCTTTTCAGCCAGCAGTTGGTGACCTTTTTGCACAACTTACCACACGTTTTGTGATGTGTCGGCCCTTCGCACAGCAGGCGAAGCCCAGACGCCCTCAGTATTGGAATTTGCTGGATTTCGCAGAAGACTAAGACGCGGAAGAAACGGGGTGTGGTCTGTGTGATTTGATTGTGAGGCTGCAAGAATGGCAACGGTTTGTTGCTGCTCCTGGCTTCAGGTTATTGCTCTTCTAGCAATAGTGGATTGCTGGATCCTGACGTTGCGAGCCCAGAACACTGGATATTTACTGGGTGTTCTCTGAGTTCTCTTGACTCATCGGTGCTACACTGCATGGTGACCTGGCTGCTGTTCATTGCGCTGCGATGTGCGCTGCGAGGTATCAGGCCAACGCAGATGCACCTGCCATTCGAGTGATGCAGCTGCTCCGGATCATCAGGCCGGACGAGCTGACTAGCTGCCTGCTTTTTCCAGCAAGATGTAGCTTTGTATTTGTAGAAAGCACCAATTTGTTTCCTAACCTATTTTTGAGATATTTTTGAGGCTGTTGTTTCTTCGCTGGTTTTGTCCTCCAGCCTTTCCCAAACTTTCACTAGTCTTGATCGATCCAGAAGATGTTTGTGTGTAATATGAAGACGCTATTGATTTGTTTTGTAGACCATTTTCTCTCCGTGAGTCCTCAGAGATCCAAAACTGTACGCCCGAAGGGCACTGAAGCGATCCAATCCTATCCCCATGATCCTTGCGTCCAATCCCCAATCCCCAATGGATCCCCAAGAGGAAATTCCTCCACGCAAGGATTGCGAAGCTACTTCGTCTTCGCCAAGAGCTTGTTGTCCGAGAACCCAGTGCAACAGCACTTCTGTATTTGGGACATTGTTATCCATAAGAGTTGTCCCAAATGCAGCGTTCAAAAGGTGCTGTCAACTTTGAGCCACTTTCCTTTGTCGTCGAGGCAATCATTGAAGGACTTTTCAGTTCTTTGCAATGCATGGCCTAGTGCTCAAAGATCAGGGAATGAATCAAAATGACAATTCGCAAAGACAAGGAACAAACAAGTCCTCAAGTCCTTATTCTCCAGCTTCCATCTTTCAAGGTCTGGATCGGTACGACGCTTATAACGCATTCAGTGTTTAGCCGTCAGCTACGAAAAACGCATCTCCTTCCCAACTTTCAATGTTTTTTGTTTCAGAGGAATCCACTCTCAAGAAGTACCCAGTCTCTTTCTGTCTCCTTTCATGAGGTTTCCTGCTCCTGATAGTGATTTACGGCTTTAGCATTGTTTGTCGCAACGTCATGGGCAACTTGACCAACAGCGATTTTGAAGGTCCGCCGTTGGGGCGGGACATTTTGTGTGTGTGAGAGTGAGAGTCTTTGGTTTGAGTCCAACAAAAATATGCAACATGGCAGCAATCCGGTGCCCAAAGCAGCTTCTTGCTTTCAACGTCTTTTAAGCTACGAGCTACTGTAGATGTAGAAGTGAAGGACCGCACTGCTTTCGTAGCTTCACAGCCACCTTGACAGATATGATCAACAACGAGATGTACTTTGGATCACTGCCTCGAACAATGTTGACGCGCGGGGCTCGGATGGGGCCGAGCAATTGGAAGACTACCAGGTAATGTTGGCAACCCAATGCCATAAACCTACCATTTGGGGCTGGTTTAAACATGTTTATACCGTTTATACCATCCTCTCATGGTGATTTTTGGGGATGGTTTCCACATTACTTGGTTTCTATTGTTCTGCACAAAGTTCTTCTCTGAAGGCTGTTCAATATTTGCTTGATTGACAGCTGGCAGGGAGCCCTGACATCACGATGATTTCCCTGTGTTTGCATGAGTCTTTGACCCTTGACGATGGTGCAGTGGTACATGTCAAGGTTATCACCCCAGTTTTCTCTTCAAACCATTCGCATTTTCAATCAAAATGACGCAGGAGGCGTTGTTGTGGACTAAGGGGTGCAATCATTTGGCCGCAAATGCTGGTGCCCTCCTCCTGCCAGTGATTGCATCGTTGGCACCAAACTTATGGGAGTATTGCGATGGTATTTTCACGATGATGTCCTTCGTTTTTCTCCCGTCGCAGTACAATCCGTGGATGGTGATTCCATTGGTGGTCTTCATGTGCGTCGGCCCAGTGGGATAGTGATGCGCGCAGCGGAATTCTTTCGGTTGTTTTTCATTTTTGAGAAATCACGAAAGGTAGCGTCAGCTACCTGAGTTCTCCGTGCTTCAGCACAAGCTTAGGGGGTATTGGGGGGCCAGCCCACGGAATTCATGGAATTCTCGCCGTTATGTATTGGATATCAATTATAAGGGGGGGGGGACCCCCCCCCCCCCCGAAAATGGTCATGGGTTCAATTCCCACGGGTGACGCGGTCACGGGCCCCCACATTAGAGGCACACTTTCCATGAGGGAGATGTCCCTGTAGTCCAGCATAATTGGTATGCTTCAGCCTCAATAACAGTTGCTGCAAGGGGTCTTAAAAAGGGGTTTTAAATAAACCCCTTTTCGTGCATCATTTCACGCTGCACAAGACACCGTATCATGCAGTCATGCTCTGGATAAAATCATCTTAGACTGCGCAAAAACGTTTTTGGTGTATCATCTTAGGGGCGCAGCATTTTGACACCACTCCTCTCCCACTACACTACCTTTCGTCCGCCTCCGCCTGCTCTCAAGTCAATTCAGCCGTCGCCAAGGAGCGTCACCTGCTTTGGACTTATGAATGCTTGGTTCCTAGCCGGCTTGCATGCAGCAAGACATAGCAACATCACTTTACCTTCTACAAGAATGAATGATGTCAATAATCGGCACTGTTTTGGCTTCTTGTTGCAATGCGAGTTTTTATAGCGATCTTTCATGGGAGGGGGCCGGGTGGCACGGGACATGACAAGGCACTGATTGGCGTTATCGTTGAGCGGACGACAGCTGCTCAGCAGAACATGAGCAGTATGCAGGAAGAGGCGCTGGAAGAGTTGCGCACGTCACAGGTAGGATTATTCAGCACTGTGCATCTGTACTTGCAGGGGGAAATGAAACTAAGACACCTGATAATCTGGCTGGACGAGTTCTTTTTTAAGGCATGGGGTTCAAAAAAGATGAGGCATCAAAAAATAAATATGTAATACATCAATAAAACAATATTTAACAGACCAAAACAAAGCATCTTTCCTGCGCTGATACAGTGGTTTGCCCCTTGTCAAGGCTTGTGGTTTTTGAATCTCTCGGTCCTCTGGTCCCTTGGTCTTCTGGTCCGTTGGTCCTTCCGTCCTTTGGTGATTCTGGTGGGTGCCTTAAGGCAATCTTGAATAAGACTTAATTTGTCTTAATTAAACGAACCATTTAAACGCATATATGTGACTTCAAGCGTGTGAATGTATGTTGTTTTGTACTCAAGCTCTATGATAGAGGGTGTCCTTCGTCTTGTCCATTTAGGCCTGGAAGGTTCTCGGAACAACTGGTTTGGCCTTGGCTGTCCCATCTACTGTGCCCAGCCTTCTTTTGCTGCCTACCTCCTTGTTTTCATAACTGGCATCTTCTCTGGCCTTGGACTTGCTGGCCTTCTCCTCTGGACACTGTGGACCTGGCTCGTCCCATCTCCATCTCTTGCTCGTGCTCCGAGCCAACCTTCACCATCACGCTACTCGGCCCTAGCTGAGTACGCGTATGAGCAGGGATCATCAAGACGGAGACCACATTGATTTGCATTGCACTCTTGGTGAACTTCGTGTCACAATCTCTGCTCCAAAAGCTCAGGCAACTGATCTCCTCCTGTCCATCACATCGCGGCGAGAGGGCCGTGTCTTGCCTCGTACTGAGGAACCTGAGAGCAGAACTGACATTGCTGTGTCATTCCCTGATTGTCCCCTTTCTCATCTGGCTCTGAGATCAAGGCTGTCAGGCTCCTCCACTTCAGGTGAGGAGAGAACCAGGCGAGACGCAGCAACACCCGCCGTGCAACCTCCACCAGCGCCGCGCCCAGACGGCTCAGAGCCCCAGGCATTGGCTGTGTCAGAGCACTTGAAAACTTCAGACTTGAAAACGCCAAAAACAACGCCAAAAGCATCCTTTGATATGGCTGATATGGCAATTATCATGTCTAAGGCTCTCAAGTCCCGACCAAAAAAAGAAAACCGAGCTAACAGCCGAACCAGGACAAAATTGCGCTGACAACATGGAACGCTTAGATAGCTGTTGCACCCCCTTTAAGCGTACTTTGTTTGCATAGAAAGCATGAAAACAATCGTGCCTCCACACAGAAACGCATCGATGCTGACCGACATTCATTGATGATAGATAGGCCAAATGATGCATAGATCGTACCGGCCCAACTATTGCCACAGACCAAAACTCGAGAACAGCATTTGCTATGGCTATGATCTGCCATTCAACCTTGATGTGTCTTATTGCAGGTCGATTGAAAAATGCAGAATAAAAACATGTGTATATATATATATATTTAAATGACCTGGCATGTACATGAGCCACTGGTGCGAGAAATCACGGCTCATGTGAGCAGTCACCAGTGGAATAAGCACTGGTGGTAATGTTGCATGAGCTCTAAAGCTCCTAAGTTGAGCTGATCGCGCTGAGAACTTCGTTCCATTCAACCTGCCCCACTGGAGTTTAGACACGCCTTCCTACCTCCTTGGGTTTGCCACAGGCATCTTGGTGTACTTCTTGATCGAACTCGAGTGCACCTTCAAGTGGGTCGTGATTGCCTGGGTTGAGTGACGCCAACGGGTAGCTCTTCCTGAGCCGCGTGCTCTCAGAAAGCCACTGTACAAATTGTGTTGATGAGCCATGGGTCACCATCTCTTGAAGCAGAGGTCCGTGACTTGCGAGAAGAGATGGAAGATCTTCGCTCAGAAGTGGTGCGTCTTCGGAGGGAGGTCAGAGAGTTTCGGCATGAGCGTGATTCTCGCCGCTCCGTGGATTCAAGGAGTGACAGTCGAGGAGGATTCCCTCCTTCACCATCTACTCATATGAGTGAGCGGCCTTCTCCTGAACCAGAACAAGCCTCAGAATCCAGGGCCTGCGAGACCAACGGTCAATCTGGGTCAAGTCCTGGGACTCCCTTGGCTTGGTTGGAGCGAGTGACTGCATTGGGAGGCTCATCATCAACTGCCTTGAAGGCCGACATCGAGGCAACAGTGGACGAGAAAAGATTCCGTTGGCGAGCAGGCTGTGGATCATTGTCCGCGACCATTCAGGGTTGATCTACACACCCGTGAAGGTCGTGCGGAGTTGGGCGAGCTGCAAGCTGCTCGTCAAACCTCGAGGTGTTGACCTTGGTGACAGCATCTTTGGGTGCCCTCAGAGAGAGAAGCCCGTCGTGTCATTCACTCCGCGCAGTTGGAGTGGCCTCAAGTCATTGAACAATGAGCTTGTTCCGCCAGGCCCCGTGGCTAGTTGAGCAATCGCCCTTGGTCTACTCCGAGGGCTTGGTTGAGCAATACTACCCAGTGTGCCTTGGTTCTTTGGTGCTGAGGGCGAATCCACAAGTGTGCAAGTGATTTATAGATTGGACAATTTGAGGGAAAACCCTCGTTGCAGTTCTCCCTATCAAGTTTGGCACAGAACTGTCGCTCGCCGGGTTTTGCCGGCCAACTCACTTGCAAAGCCGACTCTGGTTGAAGTTCAGGCTGCCTCTGCAGATAGCCGTGAAGAGGCTCAGGAAGAGCTTGTTTTGAAATATGGGCTGGTTTCCCCAAGAATCAGTATGTCTCCGAGCTCGAGGTCTTGCAGGAGTGCGACTGCGAGCACTTTTTCGACATGGACTCGCAGGAGTTTCTCCTGATGGCTCAAGCGTTGGTGGAAGTTGCTCAAGAGCATTTCGCCTTCTTCTCTGCAGATGGGATCGATGGCGAGCCGCTGAGTCCTGGAGATGTTCAAGTTCAAGCTGCGGGTGGACCTGGAGTTCAAGCCGATCTTCAAGCTCGCTTTCCCTTGCTGGGTGCTGGCGTGGTTCAAGCAGCTCTACAAGCAGGAGTCACAACTTCCAATTTGGAGCAGATGCAGAAGCTGCTGTCTCCGGGAAAACCTGGAGCCAAAGTGGGCGATCTGGACACAAAGGTGCTCCAGATGTTCTCTCCGAGGACGACGGCTAGAAGGAAGCGCTTGGAGACGATCCAGGAGAAGATGGCTATCAGGGTGATAGCGATCCCATGGTGAGCACCTTGCAAAAGCTCACCTCTTTGGTGGATATTCTCACCGAAGACAAGAAGAAGAAGGGGCAGTCCTCGCGATTGGATTCCGCTTTGGATGGCAGCTACGGCACGTCGTCAGGCGCCCCTCTTGGGACCTACAAGAAGGCAGCCGCCGCACGAAGGGCGGTGAGAGCTGCGCACGAAAAACCCCGGAGGACATCTACATGCTGATAGAGCGCCTGATGATGGAGGACCTCAACTTTGTCACCACAGGTCCGTCAGGACTTACGAAAGGGCTGAATGCGAGAAGCTGGGTCGAGTTGCGATCCAGGATTGACTACAGAACGAGCGTTTTCTCTTCCTGGAGTGCTGCTGGCATTCTCGACAGCTTGATGGCAGGGCAGATTTGATGGCAGGGCAGATTGCAAAGGCACGAGCGGGAACCTGTGTGCTCCTTCTGATGCCGGATCAAGCGAGCATAGATCGCGGGAGGTGGACTTTGGCAGGGAGCTGTCGTTGGAGAGCCCTCCTCCTTCCTCATCTTTTGCCCAGCATCAAGCCCCAGCAGTCCAAGACGGCGAGAGCCACTTCAGCAAGCTGCTGGACCCTTGTTGGTCGGAGCTGGCGATCAGTCATCTCAGGGACACCGGACGGCATGGGAGAAGAGACAGAAGCAGTGCCAAGACGCAGGCCAAAAGCCAAGCCAAAGAGCAAGGCAGCGGCAGCGAGCAGCTCTGGGCACAGAGTGGTCAGGCAGATGGGATGGTGGATTCCGATGATGATGGACGAATAGTAAAAGTCCTGGTTCCGGCGCCACCACCATCAAATAGTGCAAGCCTTTTTGAATTCGTTGCCGAGGTGGTTGCTCAAAACTCCTTGCAGCCTCCAAGGTTTCTTGCGTAGTTTCCTGCTGAAGTCCCAGGACCGTGATGGACCTACATCGTCTTCATGCTCTACATGGCCTATGCCGATCCCGTATCCTGAAGCCTTTTCAGCCGGTGGCCACCTGGATGCGAAGTCTGGCCTGATGCGGTTGGTGTCTCTGCAAGTTGTTGTGTTTGACTGGTACATCTTAGGCATGCCAGCTGCTGTTCCTGGATGGCTGCGGCTAGGGGCTTCACTCAGTTCCAGGCAGTGGTCCGTTGTGAAGCGCTGACATGGGAAAAGCGCTGACATGGGAAGGGCTGCGATGAAAGTTGAAGGGTTCGAAGAAAACCTTGCGGCTCTCTCTCTCTCTCGTGCAGTTGCCTCTTTGCATGGTTTGTCATCCAACTACGGAGGGCCTGGATGGAAAGCTCATGATGGCTCTTGGGATGATTCTGTTCCTTTTAGAAGTGGTGAACCCGTTGGACAGACGGACTACGTGCCTGACCCCGATGCGAAGCCGTTGGTTGCTTCCAGGCTAAATTTCCGACATGCCCAACTTTTGATCCCTGCCCTTCTTCGACAAGAGCACTGCTGAGCTCTATGAATTCCCACTCTCAAAGGGAAGGTGCCGCTTGGTCCCTTGGTCCTCCTGTTGTTTGGTGATGCTGGTGCCTTGAAACAATTTTGAATTTACTGTAACTTGATTAATCTTAATTACACCAACCATTTAAAAACACACACGCACACACACACAGATATATATATATATACACTTGTGATCTAGAAACCAAAGTTGAATACCCCCTAGCCCTAAACCAACCCTAAATAAGTCTCAAATGAGACCAAAACCGGGCTTTGAGTTCAAGTTAAACCAACCCTAGAATAATTTGAAAGAACCTTAAGCCAGCCCTAAACCAACTCTAAGCACACTCAAGACCGCCGTTAAAGAAACCGTAAGCCAACCTTAAATAGACTTTAAATAACGAACGGACAAACCACAAACCATCCGAAACCAACCCTACATAAACCACAAACATCACGAACCAACCCTACGTAAATCCAAATTAATCCTTCCGCCAAACCTAAGCAAACCGTAAACCAACCCCAAACAACACCTAAGCAAACCACAAACCAACTTCAAATCTTAAATCAACCTTAAATAAATTTGTAACAACACCTACAAAAATCTTACATCATCCTTAAACAAACCAAAACTAACCATAAGACCAACCCTAAATCATTCATCGAAACCTTGAAACAAACCACAAACCAACCCCAAATAAACCAAAGACCAACTTTCAATAAGGCGTCTAAAACGAAACTTACCAATAAATTTTTAACGAAACCTAAGTAAACCTTAAACCAACCCGACAAAAAGTCTTGAACCAAACTTAGACAAACCGCAAACAACCATTACTGTAAACTAACGTTTGGCCAACTCTGAATAAATTTAAAACAACACCAAACAAACCATAAACCAACTTTATCTTAACCCTGAACCAACGTTAAATAGTCTCTAAAACAACTGCACTGCAGTTAGACCCCAAAACAACTTTAAATGACCCCAAACCAGTCTTTAATCAACTCTAAACCACCCATCGATAAATTCTAAACTAACCCTACATAAACCCAACACAACCCTGAAATACCCTAAATAACCCCTAAACGAACCTTAAATAATCCTTCAACCAACTTCAAATAACCCCCGAACAAACCGTCAATAATCTTGAGCCAACCTTAAACAAATTTTAAACCAACCATCGAAAATGACAGGTTCGAACTCCAAAGTGTTGCAAATATTGCCAAAACAGCACGTGTCGAGCTCCAACGTGTTCACAAAATGCTCACAAAATGCTTCCAAAAAGATGCGAATGCGTGATTTCCAGGTCCAATGTCTTTACTGGCGAGAGGTCCACTTCCAAAGCGCTGCAAATACCACAGAAATGTTCGGTTTCGTTTCCAAACTGTTGCCAACGCCAAAAAAACACGAGGGGTTCTGTGGGATTTTTTTTTCTGATGGTTTAAATGTTTGTTTTTTGATCCTCTGCGGATTTTTTGATGCCTTAAGATGCCTTAAGTATTTTTTTTGATTCTTCAGTTTTTTTAACCTCATGTCTGCAAGTGTGTGTATGCTGCGAAGAGTCTTTATTTTTGCAATGATTTCATTTGATTATATAGTATCAGGAAGAAGGTTTGACACCGTGCCACTAACATCGCTTTTGCAGGCCGTTCGCGAGATGAAAATGTACATGGTAGCATCCTCAACACCTTAAACGAATCTACCTCTGGCCACCACTTGGGTAGCAGTATCCAGCATTTTACGGCCCTTGTGCTTGACATTTTCTGAACATTTTGCGAGATGTGCCACATCACTTGATCCATTTTCCATTGGATCGAGGTGGCTCAACTGCTGGAAGCGATCGATGACTCAGATGAGGCCATGACCATTCACACTTGGGTTTGAATTCAGATCCCTTCAACACCTGGGCTAGACAGTTTTGCTTTCCGAGACACTTGTTGCTAGTTGATAGTGGCTGGCCTTTTAGCTGTTCTTCACTGTCCAAACGTCATCGCTTTGGGCCACCTTCCAGGACCGCAGCGGCACCATCAACCTGCAAGAGTTCCGTCAGGACTGTGTTGGAGCTACTTTCGATGCCAAGCCTACTTTGGAACCCAGGTATCTACAAACTTTGGAACCTCTTTTGCAGGTTCAACGCAAGCCTCATGCAGCCGAAATTGTGGATTCCGGCATGTTTTCACTTTTTCGTGCAGTTTTTTGTTGTCTCTTGGTATGCGTGCTTTCAGTTTTTTTGGTCCAAATCCACACAGATGATTTTGCAAGCACAAGGAGTCTGCGAATCATAAACAGCCTATCAGAAACGGTCTGTGAGAAACTACTCTTGTGAGCCTGACATGCCAGTTCGCTGCGCTCAATCTCCCTCCAGGGCCCGTGCCTTGAGGGGGACATGACTTATCATCGTCGTGTCATCGTGTCTACCTTTGTTCACCTTTCAATGGAATGAAGTGAACGAAACCGTCGCAACCGTCGCAACCGTCGCAGTCTGAATTGCAACTGCTTGGTGAAGTTTTTGCTGTCTTCTTGGAAGCCTCAGGTTTGAAGCGAAAGATCTGTTTACCCTGCTTGACTCTGATGGCAATGGTCAACTCGATAGTTGGGATGCCCTAGAGTGCCATCAAGCTGTCCAGCTCGAAGCATGTGGAACTGAGACGGAAACTGTAGATTTTGTCCCTTGCTTTGCGAGGATACGAGTTCTTGCTGGGGTCACTTGGACAAATGCTCGTCCCCATTTGTTGCACGCAGTGTTTCATCGGTCCTGAAAACACAGAGCTCTGTGAAAAATATTAGAGGTGCCTGTCCAGATCATTTCCGTTGCTAGGATTGTGAATTTCAGTCTTCTGTGAATTGAGGATTTGTCGCTTGATATGGTGTGATGAGTTCCAGAGCCAGTGCTGCAGCCTGAAAGTTGTTTGTTTTCCCATTGTTTCTGAGTTCCTGTGGGAAAGAGCCGACTTCGAATTTTGTTTGAAGCTTTTCTCCTTTGCAGTTGGACAAGTTCGGCCAAGGCCTGCAAAACCATGCAATTTCCCTGGTCCGAGAGGAGAAGCGGGGCATACTTTATTTTGTGCCAGTGGCGAAACAGAGTCTTCCAAAACTTAGGACTTTGGGTCAATGGATCATCCTCAGTTTCAGTTTTAAAGATGATTCACTGATGGACTGATCATCCTGATTGGTTTAAGAAAGGGATGACAAATCCTTTCATGTGTAAATGAGTGCATCAGTGCATCGCCTTTCGTGCCCAGAGCCAAATTGCTCAAGCAAAAAAAAATAGCAAACGGAAAACCCAAAAAAAGGTTCCTTGGCTGCAGTCACTCGCCACTCTTTCAGGCATTTTAAAGAGGCATGACATTTGGCATTCATTGTCTGCTTTCACTATCCGCGGCAGTTGACCTAAAAAAAGATCAAAAGGCTATGTCCTGTTGCAGTTTACGAAAGGTTGACAAAGGTGTGAGAGTGCTGAAATCCAGAACCCTGATTCATCCTGATTCTATTGAATATCCTGCACTGTTGCAAGAATACGGTGATGTAGTGATGCATCAAGAAGGAACGGCTGCTACCGAAGGGATCCATGACAGTCCTGTCGCCTGAGGAAACTTACTGGCGATCAGCCTTGAATCATGGCAGCTCCAGGAGGTCCTGTGAGGGTCATCCTGTGAGGGTCCGGTGTTGATGAATCTGATGAAATCTGGCAGTGTGTCAAAACCAATAGTACCCCTGGTGAACATCAAAATAGCTGAGATTTATGGATGTTCATCCCCCTAAAAATGGTATTAATAGGTATTGATCCATACCCATCTGATGAATGGAAAGGTATGGAAAGCTAAAAGCCGAATTCCAATGGAAAGCTGGAAATTCTGCGATGGCTTTTCCATGTTTTTCCTGTCGCAGTTTCAGGCGCAGTTCCCCAGTTTGCCTCGCTCTATGTGGGTGACCTGCACCCTGATGTCACCGAGGCCTAAGACTTGATGTGTTGAGTTGAGATGTGTTGAGGTGCAGTGAGATGAAGAGAGAATCGGAGTTTCTGTAATCTTTGCACATGCCTTGTCCTGTCTCATCGATGCACACAAAACTACCACACATGTACATGTGACAATATCCCAGGGGTTCAGGGATCCCCAAAATGGGATCAGATCCAGTTTCAGGCGCACCAAGATATTTTTTGGGGCTCCCTTGGATTTTCCCTTAGGCAATGCTCTACGAGATCTTCAACTCTGTGGGGCCTGTGGCCTCGATCCGTGTTTGCCGGGACAGTGTGTCCCGCAAGTCTCTTGGCCATGGCCTTAGCGCCTCAGCTTTGAGCCGGTGACCTGGCTATGGGATGAAAGCAGCCAGAGCCTTTCCACTGAGGTTATGGGTATGCAACCTGGCTGAGAAGACTGCTGAAGATCCCCGTTGCAATGCCCTCGCAAGTCTTGAAAAGTGTGTCCAACTAGAAACTGACCTTTTTTGCAGCTGGTTCTGAGCCCCCTTTCATAAAACAAGCCTGATCACTGATCACTGGACATTGTCTGTCTTCGGGCAGGGCAAGGCTCATGTGTCTAAGTCTAGAGAAGATATTGTGTCGTCTATGGTCTTGCCTGGCTTAGAGTCTGAAGGTAAATTTTCACAACGTGCCAGCAGCTCAGACGGTGTCAACTTGGAAACCTATTTGCGACAAGACAGGTTGAACCTGAAGTCGCCTTGCTGGCGGTCAAAGCTAAGCATCTGACAACACATGAAGGTGAAGAATTGAAGCGTCCAAGATAGTCAGATACTGTATAGTCTATTGGAGTTCACTCAAAGATGTCGGGTTATGGAAGCTATGGACATAAACTCTCTAGCAGTTATCTAGCAGTTCTTAGCAGTTCATATCTGCTAAAGGGCCCAGGTTGATTCAGGTTGACCCGGACCAGGTCGGATGCAGAGAGAGCTCTGGACACCCTGAACTACTCAAGCATCAAGGGACGATCTTGCCGTTGCTCGTCTTGCGAAGTTGGTCTGGACTAGTCCGGACATTTTGGTTCTCCAGAGCGGATAGAGCGGCCGTAGCCGAAAGCTTTGAACATTTTGAACTCTGTGATGGATCTGAGGCATCATGTGGAGTCAGCGCGACCCCAGTCTGAGAAAGAGTGGTGCCGGCAACATCTACGTGAAGAATTTGGACAAGAACATTGACAACAAGGAGCCGCACAATCTTCGGACAGTCGTGATTGACCCTGCTCACGGTCTTTAAGTGAAGCTTCAATGTGGAACGTTGCAAACTTCGACATGCCTGAATCTCCCCTGGTTGCAAGCGCAAGTGTGTGCCCTTGCAAGGCCCTTTATGACACCTTCAGTTTGTTCGGCAATATCCTTTCTTGCAAAGCACCTTAACTGAAAGTGCTGGAGCATTTTGAGCGAAGTATCTTGACACCTTATCGCAGCTGCCTTTCGAATCACTTGTGCTTTTAAATTGTTGTACCGGAGCATTCGTGTGCAGAAACTGTAGAAACGAATCCGAACCGAGGTGGCAACTGATCCCACGGGCAATTCATATGGTTCCAGCCTTATGCCAAAGTGAGAATGTGAGTGATTCGCGGCGCTGGCACTTTCCGAAGCTTTGCGCTTGATGCAGCATGCCTCACAGCTCGAAAGCACCTCTTCACGAAGTTCGGCAAACTTTCTCCAGGTTATGGCTTTGTGCACTACGAGACTGAGGAAGCGGCGAAGCAGGCTCGATGCATCTCGTTGCCCTCTTGTTTTGCTGGAGACTTGGCTGTTTCAGACGCGTTGGGCTGGCTATGGCTAGCCGAAGGACCGTGAAGGAAGGTCCATTTTTCTAGGGATCAGAGGGGTTTCTTTGCAACGCCAAGCAGGCCATCGAAAAGGTGGATGGCATGATGATTGGTGAAAAGACCGTGCAGGCCAAAGAAAGAGCTCCGTGTGACTCACGCATACTCGCGCTCTTGTGTCAGGACTTGAGCCCTCAAGCCGGTTCTTGAATGAGACTGATGAGAGAACAATTGACCTCAGTTTCTTCTGCTCTCGCTGCTTGATGCAGCAGGTTTGCCATTTTCAAAAGAGGGATGACAAGGGGGACGACAAGGAGAACTTTACGAACGTTTACGTGTGAATCCCAGTCTGGAGCAAGCTATGTTCTGAAATCAGCATCTTCAACGCAAAAGAACACATAAGACCAGCTAGCGGTTGTGATACATGCCACATGCCACATGTCAAAGGTGAAGAATTTCCCAGACGATTGGGACGAGGACAAGATCCACAGCACCTTCAGTGACCCAGCAGATAGCCTGAAGATTCCTCCGACTGCAAGCGTGACCGTGATATCCTTGAAACCTAGTCGCGCTTAGTCGTGCCTTGCAGCGCCCTTTTTCAGGTGAGTATGGTCCTATTTCATCCCATGCGCTCCGTAAGGACGGCAAAACAAAGTGCAAATGCTGCAGCGACCACTGTACTTTGCTGTTGGGATAGACAGAACATGTGGAAATTTGCTGCGCCGGAACCAGCTCGGGCGCCGACTTAGAGATTCTGCCAGGACAACAAAGGTCGACCTTTTGCTTTCGTGGCCTTCGAGAGCAGTGAGGTCAAGATCCAAGTTGGGTTGGGAGCGACCAAAGGGACGAACCATGACGAGTTTGACATATGGGGTTGTATTAAAATATATAAAAATCACTTACCGATTTAAACACATAAGCATCTGGGGAATGAACTGAATGAACATTCATAACAGCTATTTCGGGATGCACGAGGGTACCAGGGTGATCCCAATATTTTGACCACAAACCAGGCGGCGAAGGCAGCAGTGGAAGCTATTCACATGAAGGCCAATGGGTCATGTGCAACTGCTGAGAGAGTCTTTGCAAAAACTTCTGGGGCAGCAAACGAGTTGTGTGTCTCGCATTTGAGAAGAACATCTAGGAAAGTTTCCCTGCTGGAGGGTGAAAGCCCAAACTTCAACCACGCCCAAACTTCAACCACGCCCAATTGCCTCCTCCCATTCCTTTCACCCGCTGCGCCAGCCAAACGGCATGGACGATGGAGGGGAGGAGCGTCTCGGCCCAGATGGGCATCCTGAAAACAAGTCTGGCCCTCAGAGCTGAGTGCTAGATGAACAGCAAACTAAATAATACTAAATAGCAAGATGCTGAAGATTGCTTGGGCAGGTTCCCCTGATGGGTTTCCCCTGATGCTTTCCCCTGATGGGTTTCCCCTGATGGGTTTCCCCTGATGGGTTCCCCTGATGCTTTCCCCTGATGGGTTTCCCCTGATGCTTTCCCCTGATGGGTTTCCCCTGATGGGTTTCCCCTGGATCCCAATCAATGTCTTGTGAGAAGCTCTGCCCAGGATCTACTGCTCTCGCGCTCAGACGAAGAGTGAGCGCCAGGCGTGGATCGCATCTGTGCTGTTGGCTGTTGACATAATTCCCGCTGAATTTCCATGATTTTCTATGCCTCTTTCACCTTCTCTGTCGTTGAACCACATTTTAGGTAGTTTTTTTTTGTAAAAAGAGGAGCTGGAGTGGAATGGTTGTGCAAGGTCCTGCACGCTGAAAAACACCGATTTTTCTTCGTCCCAACGGCCCCAGTTCGTGATTTGCGTGACAGGCAGAGCTCCGCTCCAAGTTTGCAGCGATGGACGTGCCTTAGATCAAGTTAATGCCTGCGCATCTTGGGGAGCCACAAGGATGGTTGGATGTGGGCCTCACAGATACCTTGAAATCCTCAAGCAGGAGTCTTGGTCAAACCAAGGCCAGCAAGGGTGGTGTGAACCTGTACGTGAAGCCACTCGGACTGAAGCAAGGTGATTCTCCATCCTTCTAGCTTCCAAGGGAGCTAAATTTGTGTTCGAATAAGAGGTGCAAGGCCATGTAAAATCCTTCAAACGCATTCATTTTCCAAAACAGCAGAACGACTCCGAGTCACTTCAAAAGATCACATGCATCTCTAGCTGCCAGCAGCACCCGAAGATTGAGAAAGTGGTTGCTCTCTTTTGCCTAGGGGCTCTGCATAGCAGTGCTTTCTCAGCGTTTCACTTCACAGCTGAGGAATTTGGATGACAGCATTGACGAACCAACCCTGAAGGATCGCTGCGAAGCAAAGCCGCTGCTTTTTACTATAGCTTTAAATATTTATGAATTTATGAATCTGTGAGAATCTGTGCCATGGCCAAAACTGGGGATGATCATCAATCCATTCAGTTCATGGGATGACCCACCACAGGAGCTCTTTGAACAGTTCGGCACGATCACGTCTTCTGCCGTACCATTGGACAGCAACGGCAAGTGCAAGGCCAAACGAAGCAGAAAAAGCACATCGAGTTGAAATCCAGGAGAAGAGCTTAATGATGTGAGTCATCATATTGATTCATAGTGATCATAGTGTAATGAGGGTAAAACAATAGTAAACCATCCCCCTAATTACCATAAATGGGTGGTTTTATATGGTTTTATAGTATACAGTATACAGTATAAACATTAGTATAAACCATTCCCCCAATTTGGTTGCTTATCGTTTTAACCACAGAAGAAGTTTCCAGTTTGTTGCAGGGTTTTTCCTTGACAGTATCGAATTCTCAGCTCGTTGGATGCCAGGGCTTTGGCTTCGTATGCTTCGCATCTCCCGATGAGGCGACCAAGGCAGTGACTGAGATGCACCTGAAGGCGGGCTTTTTATAGTCCAGTTTCAAGAACACCAGTTGAGGTTGATGATTTTTGGGGATTAGGTACATCATGATATACTGCACATCTATATAGTTTATCTATAGTTATATATATATATATATCATGTCTATATACTATCCAATTCTTGCTGGGAATCCCCATTCAGCAATCCTTGTTTTGCATATTTTCCAACATTTTCCAACATTTTACAATATTTTCCAACATGTTCCAATAGGTTTGAGTTCCACTGCTGCAGTTCCCATTCATTGGTTCCCTAGCTCCGCAGCGTACGCGGCAGGTCATCAAAGGTAAGCCTTTGTATGTGGGCCTTGCTGAGAAGCGTGAAGCGAGGCAAGAGAGGCTCCGCCAGCGCTACTCGTTCCTCGGAGAAAGATGTTTTCGATGATTTTTCAGCATGTTATGGCAGCATGAGTATCATGTAGCTCCACAATAAAGAAATAGAACGCGTGAGACAGATTTTCTCTTGTCTCAGATTATACATAGAGACTTGTATGTATGTTGTATATTTGATTCATGATGAATGCATAGAAACATCTTTTGTAGGTTTGAGGGAAACAACTGCAGGGCCCGTATTGCAAAGCCCAGCTCTGTCCTCAGGATGCCTTCCGGAGGTGGCAAGGGCATGATGGGGGGCAAGGGCGACAAGGGCGGCAAAGGCGGCAACAACCCAAATATGAGAGGCCGGCATTGGGAAATACTGGGAAGGGGGAACCCAAACAGATACAGCTCCTGTTTGACTCAGCAATTCTGTTTGATGCTTGCGTATTGCAATTCTATACAGTTTACACTGCCCAGACACTCTTGCTTAGCATCAGGCATGATGGGAATGATGCCGCAGCAAGTACCTGCCGCTGCAGACAGTGATTTGTGTGTTCAGGTGAACCTTTCCGAAGCTTTCATGAGTTAACCGTACTTGATCAAGGGAAATCAATTTACTGGTTCAACCGTTCAACCTTCAACTTTCACTAGGAATTGGTGCCTCCAACTCTAAGGCGATGATGGGCATGATGAGGCCTCCAATGATGGGAATGATGCCGCAAATGATGGGCATCTCAGCTCAGCCTGGCCTTATGGGGTTGCTGTTCATTCACATCCTGTAGGACACTGCAGAAAGCTTCCCCTAAGGCAAGGCTCCGATGCCGAAGGCTCCCATGCCACTTGGCAGATTTCAAGCGACTGCCATTGCACCATTGCACCATTGCACCATTCAGTCAGGATCACCTCACCTGGTTTTTGGACACATGGCATGACACTTGTATAAGCAGATTTGCGGGAACCCAGGTGGCTAGGCACGTTAGATTGCGTCTTGTTTTTGTTTCCAAGAGCTACTTGTCAACAGCCCATCAATGTGGCCGCTGAAACGCTTGAGATTTGAAGAGCTGGTACAGCTGGTACAGCTGGTACCACCTCAGGACCTTAGTTGCAGCGTAAAGTCTGATTTGCTAAGGATGGGAATGATGGGTAAAGGTGGCAGCTTGGCGTAGCGCTGGATGGACTGGATGGCAATGCGATTCTTTTTCTTGCCAGTGCCATCAGTCATGCACAAACAATCACAAAAAAACAATTCAATAACAAACATATGTCTATACTCTATACACATGTACATGGACACATATCATGTGGATTTACTGTCTCGAAAGCTACACGATATGGTCTTTGTTTTGTCGTCGAACACAGACATGGAAAGAACTGCTGCTTTCGCCCGTGCAACGCCGAGGACAGATGATGCCCGGAAAGGGTGGTATGCCAACCATGCCCATGCCAATGGGCATGAATCCGGCCATGATGCGTCTTGGTGCAAGCAGCTGTTAGATCTGTTCGCGCACACATCTTCCAGATTGACTTAAGGAAACAGCACCCCAGACCCAAGGACAAAAGCTTTGAAGCAAACTCCTACAACTTTCATCTTTGTCCACTAGTGAAACTCTAGTCATAACTTAATAATAATAATAGTATAGTTACGACTATAAATTATAAAGCTATGATTTTGCAACTTCCACTGGCTGTTTATAACGGTCCAGTTTTTGTCCCGACTCTTGCTCAGGATGAGACCCATGGGACCCGGAGCTATGATGCAGCTTGGCAAGCAGATTCGAGTAGACAATCCAAAACGATAAAACAACATGGGTATGGGTCAATACCTATAGATACATTTTTAGTGGGATGAACATCCATTTACCAACTGTTTTGTGGTTCACTAGGTACCAGGGTTTTGACCCATCCCCATATAATATAACGTAAATGAAAAAAAATGCTAGAAATCATCGATAAGTCCAGATGGAGGTTGCCTAATATGGGGGTACCCCCAACTCATCCAAACTGAGACAAATTTAGTATTCAAATGAAACCAAGGGTGACTTGGGGTTCCCCCATTTTAAGAAACCACCGTATCGCATACCATTGGTTAAATCCCATTAAAATCCAATTCCTGATGGTTAAAATCCCATCAAAACAATTTAAAGACTGTTAAACACCATTAAATCCCCATTGAATCACCATCAAAACATCAGGCCTCGTCCTGGAGGCCCTCCAGGAGGTGGACAACTGCATCTTGGCATTAAGTGGAGCCAAGGAGTCTCGACCAACCGCGGGAAACTTCTCAGTTAACTACCCCCACTTCCCCCCTGGCTGGTTCACAAGCAGTTTGGCCGTGGGCTCAATCCCTTCCGGGGACACCGTCAGTAGGGCATGCCTCATTTCTCTTCAATTCATTGATGCAGCGGCGCTCATGATTGGCATCTTCCTTCATGGGTAGCCTTCATCTTGGCCTAGCTTCATTTTCATGTTGTGCACGCACACCTACCTCTCATCCTCAACTTCGGTTTTGCTTCCAAAGGTCCACTCCGATGCCGAAGGTGGACCTTTGAATCTTCCAATCACTGGTCATCATGTTGGCTATGCTGAATTTCCTCATCCTCTTCGTGTAATCAGGAATAGTACATAATAATCATATGTTCTCATCCTCGTCCCCTCCAACATACATCGCCTCAATACGTAGGTCTGGATGTTCACCTTACCTAAATGACCCAGCTTCTGACCCGCTCGTCCACGTTGACGAAAACTCTGCGCAGCCGCGCTGTGCCCTTTGTGTTTTCATGCCAAGCCCCTGCCAAGCTAGCCTTCGTCTCTTACCCCTGGGCCTCAAGTCCATTTTTTGCCCTTTTTGTTGTGAGAGACTGGAAGACCACATCTTTTTTCGGGGATGTGATACATAAAATATTGTCATATAGTATATATAGTGAGTCATATAGTATTCCATATAGGAGATGTAATTATCCCATTATCCCGTATAGTTTTGTTCGGCGCTGCCGAGGAGCCCTGCTGCTTTGGCAAACGCTCCACCGTCTGTGCCATGGCAGCATCGCTCCTACTTTTTCCATAAATGACCCCCATAGCTGAATGGTTCATAATGGAAAATCCCATGAAAATGATTAGAAATGGACGATTTATGGGTACTCCCATTTCAGGACACCTCCATATGCATGCCATGTATAATGAGATCAACATTCTGCAGACTAGGAGTGATGCAATGGACTGCACAAATCATTTGGGAGCCTCGCCGCTTGATTTGTCATGGAGAGGTGCAGAAGCAGATGATCGGTGAGAAGTTGTTCCCCATGATCTCCAAGATTCATCCCGATCAAGCTGGAAAGATCACTGGAAGCTTTGCCAATACTTTGAGAGGCAGAAGGCATCTGTGATCAGCTTGTTGACATGCCAACTGACTTGCGCAACTTTGCATTCTGTTCGTCTCTGCACTGAGGAATGATGCTGGAAATGGACTCTTGTCTACAGCAGAATGCGGTATTGGGTTGTTGCATTATTGCCAGTCACAAGTTAAATACATTTCCATCCCAGAAAAAAACAAGTGAGAGGGACATGGCGTTTCTGGCTACATTGGATTTGTCAACATGAAATCAGCTGTTACTATCTCGTAAGCGCGATTTGGCTCCTTTCTGCAAGCAATTGTAAAGATACATATGTATATATATATATATATGACTCATAAGCTCGACGGCTCGTTCTTGCATCTTGGTGCTCAAGTCAACTGTAGATGGTAGTGTGGTTTGATAAAGTATTAGGGTGGTTGTCAGTTGCTCATGAGGTATCAAGGCTCTCTTCTTGCCCATTCCATTGCGGGTCTTCTGGCCTTCCCTGGTTGCTTCTTGGTTGGTTGTCTGGCTTCTTTTGTGCCCTGTTCCTTCTTGGATTTGTGGCCCTGCTGTGGATTTTTCGTTCCGAAACGATTCACTGTGTCAATCGCCAGCCTGCCTATCGCAACCACCGCTCCAGACTTGCGCGATATCTTGAATGAGCAGCAGTTTTACTGCTGCTGAGATCCGAGATTTGATTTGCCGTTTGGAACGATTGGAAAGGGCCCAGACTCAAGCTGAGAGTGAGCTTGCCCAGCAGAAGGGTGGAAAGGGGTATACCCGAGGGGATCCTAGGCAGAGAGCAGCAGCCGTCGGTCCTTTGACTTCCCAGACAGTTTTCCCAGCCATCTCTCAGGTGTCTAAGCTCTGGACTTGCGTCGAGGAGGTGGGACCGGATTTCTTGGGTGATCAGTCTGTGAGAGTGGAGGACGGCCCAGGCCCTGTTCCAGCCTTAGTAGAAGACCAGGCCGATTTCATCTGCAGTGATCAACGTGAGGGCATCCAGAGGGTCCAGTTAGCCTTTGCCACAGGGTTTTGGGCTCGCGTCGCTCTGGAAGTTTTTTCTGAGCAAATCTCTGATCAAGTGATTTCATCTCCTGCCAAGCATTTCATTGTCCTGCGGGCTTGTGGCTTAGGCGGAAGTGTCCGATTTGTTTCAGAGGAAGATTTCTCACGTTTCCTCGATCAGACAGTCAAAGGTGGGTTGTTGGCTCACGGATTTGCCATGCAGACAGAACTTGAGGTCTTTTGCCAAGGAGCCAAGATTGCAGTTCCCCCGGCTTTTAAGCCAGCATGCTGACCAGAGATCGTGTAAAAGCGGCCAGTCAAGGCGAACCGTCCTTGCTGGTCTTGAATATCAATGCAAGTCTTTCCGCGGTGGGAGATGACATCGAAGTGTATGCCATTCCTCTCGAACTGAGACGAGATGGTTTGCTTTTTGCCATCCCACATGATGCTTTGTCAGATCAAGCTATCGCAGATGGCCAGTCTAGTGCCGAAGATGCCCTGATTGGCCCGAGTTCCATTTTTCTGCTCCTCTACTTGAGGAATCTGAGGATATGTTGTCCACCATTGCACTTGGAATTGAGGCACCCGTTTTGGTTGTCGATTTGCATGATGACATTTTGTCAGCCTGTAGAGAGTATGATCCGGTGACAGATTCACTTGCAAGCATTTTAGGATTCTCCTTAGATCACCCAACAAGCTTGCCTGATATGAATGTTTTGTGGCCGCTAGTGAATGGTTGGTTGCTTTCCAGGTCAGACGATCGTACGGGTTTTTATTCTGCTCAAGAAGACCAGGTACCCGTAGGCAAAGGAGCTCAATCAGTTTCTCCCGGAGCCCAAACAAAGAAAGCACCAGCTGCCAAAAGGATCACAAACAACATGATCGCGGACCAGTTGAGCACCCTTGCAGCTCAGCTCCAGTTGCTTTCTCAGAGGCAAGATGTTTTGGAAAAAGCTGGAAATACCTTTGTAGGAAATGTGCCAGAGCCTTCCAGGGCCCAACCGTCCAAGCTTCCCGCAGTTTCCAGCGGCCTAAAGCAAACACCTCCGGTGGCCCCCCTGACAGTAGCCAAAGCACTGAACCTGGTTGGCCCGCCTCCCAAAGTCAGGCATCCTCAGCAGGCCCAACTTGTGGAAGGTGCAGAAAGAGACGAGCCATACGATCCTTTGCAACCTTTGGCGGAGGAATCTGGTGGGATTGTAGCGGCATTAGCGCAGCAGAGCTCCGCCATAACGGCATTAGTGGCACACATGGCTTCCCAATCAGGAGACGCAGTGGCGGACTTGTCTGCCACCGGGCTGTCATCGAGTTCAACAAAAGGTGTGCAGCGAAGAGAGAAAATGCAGAACGACTTAGCACATGGAACCAGCACATATTTTCTTCAGATGCAGCAGCAGCTTCACAGACGCCTATTTCCATCCCGTCCGGTGCCCCAATCCGAGGAAGAGCTGAGAGATGTTTCAGTACTTCAGTACCTAGAAAGGCAGGGCGGTTACAGAGCACAGAGGGAAATGGGGCTGGTGGCCTGGGTGCTAGGGCATGCAGTCGACTCGGCTGCTCAGGGCGACTTTCGCCGTACCAAAGAGATCATAGCCCTCCTACTTGTTGCACTGGAACAGGCAGTGACAGACAAGGGGGACTGGAGCCTAGCATTTATGCTGACGCTGTTGGAAGAACCACCTATTCAAGTTTTTCAGGAGAGAGCCACCAACCTAGTGCACCTGTCGAGACCTTTCGGACCACTTGTGCCACCACAATGGACTGCAGTGTGCCTCTCTCACTTGAAGGATCTAGAAGTACTTTCAACCAAAAAGGTGGAAACGGCAAAGAAGGCTTCGAAGGCCACACCAGCAGAAAAGGCAGCCGGAGCATCCGAGCCCGATCGGGAAGAGTCACCAAGGCGCAAGCCGAGGTTTCCAAAGAAGCCAAAAGCCAAGGCCTCTCCAGAGGCATAGCTCACAAAAAGCTTTGTTTCAACGATGGTGGGCTCAAAGTACCTCACCAAAAATCCCCATTAATTAATTCTGGTGGACTTTTAACCTTTGGACTTTTAGCTAATGGGCATAATGGAATTTGCCTTAGGTGTAGGCATAAGCTTGGGGAGTCTAATTCTTGCAAAGACTGTGGTCTTGCTCCCGATTCGGATGCCTGTGGAATTCATAGGAGCCCGGCTGTGGACACCATGTGTTTCGCTAAGTGGTGTTCATTTTTGGCCGTGTCAGTGCTGCGCACACGTTCGCCCTTTGCCTCTTTTCTCTCCAAGACTTTGCATTTGCCACGAAGCTGTGTCGCTTCGTCATCGCCAACTTTCCCTTTGCCTATTCCGTACCCTGGAATCTTTGCAAAGATGCCCCTAGGTCTGTCTTCATCGAAGAGGAGACGATATCACTTTAAGCGTGCATTGCATGTCATAGTGATGGCCTTGAACTTCTGGTGGAGTAACAACAGCTTCATCCCTTTGGAGCTTCTAGGGAGGATTCCGTCACCCAGCCAACTCCGTATGTTCCGCAGAGTGGCGAGTCTCATGTTGGCAGACGGCCCAGTGGAGCCTTTTGAGGTTTTACAAAGTGGTCGACGTTTTCATTTTTTGACGGCTTGTTGAGCTTTCGGATGCTGTTACCAAGCTGGGGGCTGGCTCTGGCCCGTATGACAAAGTGTATGCTGGCCATTCCGTTCCCATGGATCATAGCATGTTTCCCGAGCTCGAGCCTTACAAGTCCCTGAATGCTGGCAGGTTGAAAGTGGTAGGTACAGGCGGTTTCGATGCTACAGAGTTCCTTCCTCCTGACCTGTGTATGGCATATAGATATCCTGACTCCTTGCTTTCAGACAGGGTGCCGGCAGCATGCGAGTTTCCGCAACGTTTAGACCCTGAAGAAGAGGTAGTGGCACTAGCGAAGCTGTGGGATGCTCGTGGTTTGTTGTATATTCACGATATTGACTTGCAGAAGGAGCGCTCTTTTGAAATGGTACGTGTCTTCAACTGTTTCAAAAACCTTGAGGTGGACAGACAGATAGGAGATCGCCGTGGGCGAAACGCGGTTGAACATCGTGTGTCAGGGCCTTCAGCAAATTTACCTTCAGGTACTGACCTCTTGGATCTTGTTGTGGATGCCTCCAAGGAGATGCTCTCAGTGATCTGCACAGATAGGCGTGATTTTTATCACCAGTTTTCCACAAGCCTTAATAGGTCTCTATCTAACACTGTAGGCCCTAAAATCCCCCTTAGCCTCTTACGTGACACGAAGGCCTTTGAGACGTTTGTTGCTTCCAAACGTGCCAATAAACCTCCAAGGGTCGAACTTGGTGACCAGTTAGGCTTTTCGGATAGACAGCAGTTCAGCAAGTGCCCTCCAGGTCTTTGCATGATCAGTTTCAAAAGCATCTTCCAAGGGGACCATGCGGGGGTCGAAATCGCTACAGCTGCTCATGAGGGGTTGTTAAAATCAGCAGGGCTGCTGGCCAAAGACTCGAGAGTCGTTTCAGGTTTGCCTTTTTGTGGAGACAAGCTTTGCGAAGGTTTGGTGATCGATGATTATTTTGCCATAGCTAAGGTCCCAAGAGGTGTGCTTGTTCCAAATCCTGCGCTTGACTGCCTATCAAAAAGCAAAGAGTTGTATACCAAGCATGGTATTGTTGGGTCGGATGACAAAGATGTCACAGGGGCACAAAAAGCCAAAGTCATTGGTGCTTCAGTGAACGCGTGGGCATGTGTTGATAGCATCCCCAGCCGAAAAGAGGTATGCTTTGTCTTGGATCACTCTTCAAAATTGCCAGCTGTCTCACACCACAGACTCCTTGCACTTGTGCCTGTTGGGGGGTTGGACGTCGATACTCATGTATAGAAGACCCTTCATGTCAGTTCTGCAGAAAGCTTTCCACTTAGTAGATATCTCACAGCTTGACTCGGCAAATCCAAAACTTATCCAGTTGTCTAGGCATGTTGCAAATGAGCTCACTCTGCTGAGCGTCTTGGCTCCCTTCATGGTGTCAGATGTTGCTGTGCAGATTTGTGACGAGGTTTTTGCCACCGATGCCTCATTGCAGAAGGGGGCGATTGTTAGCTGTTCACCGGGAAGAACCATTGCCGAGACTCTGTGGAAAAGCTGTAGGTGGAAAGGTGGTTATTCTAAACTCCTTACCGGGGAGCAAGCCATTTTATCCAGGTGCATGGATTTTGAGGAATTTGATGTCCCCAAGACGGAGACTGTTCAGAGACCCCTCGCTTTCCGTTTTGCTTTCATAGAGGTGTTTGCAGGTGCTACCACTGTCACGGCATGCATGGCTCGGCGCGGCTATTCAGTGTGTAATCCAATCGATATCTCCTTTGACAATGAGCTCGATGTCTCTAAGGTGCATGTTCTGGAGTGGATTCTACACTTGATTGATAACAGCCTGGTCAGTGCCGTGATGATTAAGCCCCCCTACACTACTTTCAGCATTATGAGAAAGCCAGCCTTGAGGTCTTCGAGTTTTCCCTTTGGATTTGACCTGAAAAATTCTCAGACGTGCCATCGTGCCTTTCAGATCTTGTACAAGTGTGCCAAGAGAGGGATCACAGCCGTCCTGGAAAATCCTTGGTCCTCAATGATCAAAAACTTGCCAGGCTGGAAGGTGGTTTCAAATTTGGAATGTTGTCAGTTAGTGAGGTGCGATTCCTGTGCATATGGCTCAATCCACTTGAAGAGCTTTGCTTTCCTTTGTGTTTGGGCTGAGGTAGCACCAATTGCGCTACGTTGCGACGGCACGCATGAGCATGTTCCGGTTCAGGGAGTCTACACTAAAAGGTCTGCAACTTATGTTGAGGAGCTGTCAGAAGCCTTGGCCGACGTGATGGAACTTGGGGTCAAGAGATTGGCTGACTTCTATCGCGCCTCTGACACAAAGGATATTTCAGGGATTGAAAACCAGATGATTAACGAGATTTGTCTTGCTCAACAATGGAAGGTTGTTTCTTCCTGGACTTTTCGTATTCCTGCCCACATTAACATTCTGGAATTGGCTGCCGTTGTGCGTCTCGTCACTCGTCTGGTAAAGGAGGGTGGGGCAAAGCGGCTGGTGATTTTGGTTGACTCCAATGTGGTTCGTTGTGCAGCCTCCAAAGGAAGGTCGTCTTCAAGAGCCCTTTCCAAGCTTCTTGCCAGATTAGCAGCGCTTTCGGTCGCAGGTGGCCTTTATTTAGTTTGGGGTTTTTGTCCGACACGTCATAATCCAGCTGATGATCCTACGAGAGATGTGGTTCTGCGTTCTCCTGTCCCGGGCTTGGATTTAGCCGCTTGGGATCGCTCTGAGTTGTTTCAGCTTGCGTGTTTTCCTCGGTTGAAGCGTTGGGCATCAAACTGGCTCCGTCTGATGCTGTCCTTGCTTGGGCCCCGTTTGTTGTGTTTCCGTGACAAGTCCTTTTGCCGTGTTGGTGCTTTTCCCCATGGCCTTATGAGCTCTGTTGTTACTCCTGCCAGAGACCGACCCATTCACCTTTTGGACTTCGATGCTACTCTCGGCTACCCAGGGGAAGGCCCTCTGCCTCACATCGTGAGCAGCTGGGAAGGTCTTGTGCCTCACCTCGTGAGCAGCTGCACTCCCCTAAAGGTGTTAGCTTTTGTGGTGTTTGTAGGTCAAGTTGGTCTCACCCATGGAGTGCTTTTCCCGCGTAATCCTGGTGATGTTCAGAGGCAAACTTTGAGGAATGCCAGGCCACCCTTACAAGAAGGTCGACCTGTTCTGGGCACTACGAATAAGTTGCGGGTCTCATTCTATGCTCAGTTTGACAAGTGGCTAGCTGAACTTGGAATTTCTCTGGATACCATGCTGGACTCGCACTTCCAGTACATTGATGAGATCAACAAAAGCTTGGTGAGGTACGGTAGAGCTCTGTATGCTTCAGGCAGGCCATATAATCACTACGCTGAAACGATCAACTCAGTGGCTTCAAAGCGGCCTGCCATTAGGCGACAGCTGCAAGAAGCCTGGAACCTGGCTTTTGCGTGGGTTCGAGATGAACCTTCAACGCATCACCTTGCTATGCCATGGCAGGTACTGCTTTCACTTATATCAGTCTGTTTTCTCTGGGGTTGGATGGAGCTAGCTGGAATGCTAGCCCTTACCTGGGGCGCTTTACTACGCGTGGGAGAGTTCTTGCAAGCTACAAGATCGGATTTGCTCTTGCCTGTTGACACCATGTATACAAATAACTTTGCTCTGTTATCGTTAAAGGAACCAAAAACTAGGTTCACTGCTGCGAGACACCAATGCGCGAAGTTGGATTCTCCGGATCTCTTACAGGTTGTGAATTTGGCTTTTTCGAGATTACATCCGACACAGAAGCTTTGGTCTAGAACTGGACAGACTTTGAGATTAAGATTCAAACAGGTACTTCATGCTTTGGGGCTTGATACAGTCCGCCTAAACGGAAAAACTCTGGACTTAGGTTCCCTCCGGCCAGGAGGTGCGACTTGGATCATACAGCAGACTGAAGACGGCGAACTTTGTCGTCGACGTGGAAGATGGATAAATCAGCGGGTCATGGAAATTTACATCCAGGAGGTTTCCTCCTTTCAATACCCATCAATCATACCTGGAACAGCTCAACAGAAAGTTTTTGGCCTTTGCGAATTCTTTCCCTTGGCTTTGCAGCAAGTTGAACGTTTCTGGTCTGCAGGTATTTCTCCGAATGTTTGGTTTCTCATATGGCGTGGACAAGATACAAGGTAGAGTTGGGAAATATGGATGTCTTGTGCTTTCAGCTCTCTATGCGATGTCAATGATCGAGCAGAAAGATGTTTCATGTACAAACGCAGTGCAAAGCTTCCAAGAGAAAAGTGAGTGCTGGAGATCTTGACTCATGAGCTCGACGGCTCGTTCTTGCATCTTGGTGCTCAAGTCAACCCACCCGGGTATTTTCACCCATCCCAATTTTAATTTTCGCAGTCCCGCCGGATGTCTTGTGCTTTCAGCTCTCTATGCGATGTCAATGATCGAGCAGAAAGATGTTTCATGTACAAACGCAGTGCAAAGCTTCCAAGAGAAAAGTGAGTGCTGGAGATCTTATATATATATATTCTGCATGTCACGAAACTTGGAAAAAAGACACAGAAACATCAATCAGTAGTGTGTTGCTACACTTATTCCCCTTCTTGCTTGATATGCTCCCAATCACATGCGGTCTCAGTCGCCTAAAGTAACCTAGGAATATCTAAGAATCTAGGAGTTTCTTAATCAGAAAACTCAACCGAGGACAACAGCGAGTTGCTGATTCTGTTGGACTCTGAGCAGCAGCTCAAGAATAAGGTCCCAAGAGCTTCGCTTGCACCCGTTGAACGAAAATATGGGCACCACCTGCGGTACAATGGCTTTGTATGAAAATTGTGTAGCCCTCAATCCACAATATATAGATATAATATTAATGTAGATATAATATTAATATAGGTGTGTTATAGATAATATATATATATATCATATAACCATACTAAAACCATTTCAGACATCGTCTCGACCAGGTGGACGAGGCTTTGCGTGTCCTTCAGAGTGCCAAGAGTTGAGGCGATTTTTGCCAACGGGGAAAGGTGGGGGGGTTTGGCATTGGGACCTGAGGCGTGTTGGTTGTGTTAAGTCGTGTTATATATTATGTATATATTTCACGAGATTTTACTCACCTGACATGGTGAGGTTGTAGCTGAGAATCAACTGATGAAGTGAAAATCATGGACCAACCAAAAGAAAGGTTTTGAAAGTAGCACTTTCACCATCCGGGAATGCACTCTTTCCACTGGATGAGTGCTTCACACGCCGAAGGCTTTTTACGCATCGATCAATACGTTTTGCCTTTTCGCAGCCACATGGCTGTCAACAGGTGGCTGTGCCAATTTAACAAAAACAGCAGCCCCAGTCTGCTGAAGCGGTCCGCTAGGAAAGAAGGATATACACATCTCAGATTTCTGCATTTCCCAGCAGATCGCTCAGCGTTGAAGCCTATCTCAGCTAGCCAGAGAGTGTTCCCTTGAGATCGAGGTGAATGTGGTGAATGTCATGGTGAATTGCAAAAGTTTCACATTTTTGGGTCACATCATTTAAAAAAAACAGATAAAACAGCAGCTTTTGAGGCAGTTTTGATTCTCACTCCACAGCTTTCGGCTTACTTTGAGATGGCGAAAAAAAGAACACCGAACCGACCGAACCGACTCTGCTGACTCGGGAACCACAGATCGGTGTTGGTCCAGCTGTACGGCCCGTTGTACCCGTAACGACATACGAGAAGCGTTGGTGAGAGGTCTCCGTTGTTCAAAAAGTCGAACTTTGCTGTCTTATTGAACTTGGTAGTTTAGTAGTGGTTGTTTTAAGAGTCTTATCAGTCTTATTGTTTAGTATGCCTGTAGCATGTTTTTAGTATGTTTAGTTGTAACTTGGGGACAGCGGCGCACTGTAACTTTGGGGACACGACCATCACGACCACTAGGAGAATAGGCCCAAGGACCTAGAACATGACCGTGTAACTGTGTAACTGACAGAATTGTATACGCTAAGAGTCTAGCTGCTGGCACAGATTCCGAGCTGGGGTATGGAATGTGAACTTGGCCTTGTAGATTTCTGGGACTGTCAGAAAAAATTGAAGTTGAGAGGAGTCTCAGATAATATGAGTCAAGGTGAATCAACATGTCTTGGGAGACCTCCCGAGCAGGTTTGCAGAAGGGCTGGAACAGAATGGAGCTGTGAAACGCCAATCTGTGGAAGGAGGATCTAATTTTGTTGAACGGATGTAAATGAACAGTCCACAGTTTTATCATTCAGACACAATTACTTGTTCATCCTGTCGATATGATATGTAGCTCTTCCAAGCAAAGCTAGGCTAGCAGCTAGGTTCAAGGAGTCACAGAGCACTGTTGACTGTAGACTACAAAGCCTGTGCAAAATAATGCATGATATTCATATTTGACTTTCTTCTGTGAGTATGAATGCTCGCGGGCTGGTACTGCACAGCTTCATGTGGACCATGGAGAAATGTCAGTTTCCAATCGCCAGAGGGAATGAAGACCCTCAGAAGACGCGGTGCTGGATGGTGCTGGCATAGTGGCATAGTTTCGGTGGTGTCAAGTCAGGTCAGTCAGGTTTCAGCTCATTTCAGCTCCAGTTCTTCACATCACAAGGCCATGGACATGACCTGATTTTGACGTTGGCTGACTTGGCGAGTGACCTCTTTTCGGGAGTGTGCCAACATCAGAGAATCTTTATGTGAACTTTATGTGCTTTCTTAATCTTTGTTTACTGTGTTTACGAGTGTTTACGAGGTAGCAATGGAATCAGATAGCGGCTTTGGCCTCTGGCTGCTCCTTCGGCTCAGCGAAGACAGAACTTCGCAGATCTTCGGCTTAGTCAGTTTGTTGTCATCCCGGCTACTTGACGACTCCGAAGCCAAAAAGAACATTTATTAATTATCATTAATATAACTATTACTATTATATTATATTATATTTGTATAATGTATACACAACCATATGTCCTAAGCTAAAAGTTGGAAGACGCAATGCGGTTTGATCATGGAGTCTGGTGGATCAGTGGATGCTGGATCACTTTGGTGCTGTGTTCCTGTGTCTTTCGGCCGATCCAATTGCCAGAAGGATACTCCTGACTTCATTCTGAACGATCCTCTTGTTTCCTCTCTACAGACGATTTTTTTCCAGTTTTGCATGTGTTTGCCAAACACAACTCTGGCATTTGACAGCGTTAGTGTCGCACCACCTTCCATATTCTGTTGGGTGGCTTTGCAACACCATCTACAAAAAGGGCCTCTAAACAGCAGTCCAGTCCACTTTGATACCAATAGAATCAATAGAAGTGCAGAAGCCCAAGAGGCGCCAGTGAAGATCGGTGCTGCGTGGCCCCTTGTGACGTCGCCAAGCGGCTTTGACGATGTCATGGGATTTTGATGACCGGATGGGATGCACGTTGCCAAGTTTGGCCCTGACCCAAGCTGAAGGATAGCATGGGCAGGATTGCATCTGTTGGAGGTCACACCGAGTTGCAGGTTTGGTGGCTGAAAACTGAAAAGTCAATCTACTGAACAAAAAATGATCAATCTCTGGAATGTCTAGATGCTCCCATCGTTTTTTCATCCACTTGGTGCCATGATTTTCCAAAGGATTATTAAGGTTCACTATTATTGAACTATGTGGTAAAGTTGCCAAGTATGGCAAGGAAAGATCAAAAAGGGATTATGATATTCTTCATCCTGCATTGTCAAGGGAAGGTTCAAATGATTGTTTTTGTCACTTGCTCGAAGAATGCCTTCAACACCAGCGCAGTGCAGCTGCCAGATGACACGACCGGTGACGGCTGATCTAAGATGAATTGGTGAGATCAAAGCCTAACACATGTTTTTGCGAAGGTGATGATCAACATGTGTCACAGGATGCTATACTAAGACTGCTGCTTGAGCACTGGATATGGTCAAGAGATGTCAAGAGTTTAATGTCCGAAAAGGGGCAGAGAATTCCAAGCGACAGCAGAGGAAATCAAGCCATTTCGATCCATTTCCAGTGTTTTTCTGCTTTTTGGATGAAATAAGAACGCTTTTCGCTGAGAATTGAGATCATTCATCCTGTGGCTCAGCTCGATTCAAATTGGAAACAACTGAGAACAGATCCAGATGATGAGAAAAGACTGCTGAGCAGAGACGTTGATGCATCACATTTTGATTATACTTGTATATCTTATATATTCATGCATTGAGTTTGGCAGGCTTGGGTGTGCATGTGTCATCTTTAAGTGAGTCAATGAATGCTTTCATTTTGGCTCAAGTGGAGCTGAGCCAAAATAGCATTCATTGCTGTTTCTTTCCTGGCCCTGGTAAGGGGTGACCTTCCTAGACCTTGATTGAGCGGCTCACCACATCAATAACCAGGGGTGACCTGGTTGGTTACAAGCATCGTAAGGGGTGACCTGGTAGTTGCAAGGGGAGACCGTGCATGCAGCGTAAGCTTCGTGGGAGCGATATCCCGGCGGCCACCGAGGCGTCGCTCCTCCATGCTGCTGCGTTCCTGGAGTTCAAGCAGCACGTGGCGAAGCGATGCATTCTTGCTGCAGCAGCCCTTGGAAGACGCCAGAAACGGTTTTTGTACACCTCCTCTGCGGCGAGCAGAGTTCCTCAGGGACATTGGCGGCCGGGCACATCGTCTTATCCTGCGCTGTGTGACCACGCAAAGTTCGGGGAAACAACGAGTCATCGACAACGGTGACACCGGAGGGCAATCAGACATTTCTTCCGATGCCAACATGCTTACACTATGTAGTCGCCCATAAGCCTGGTTATGCGTCGTTGGTCTGAGGACGAGGTCGCCGAGTTTTGTCACCATGATGCCTGGGAGACAGGCTAAGAGGACCTGCCGTCTGCCTACAGGTACTGCCCCATGTCAGCAGGAGAGCTTAGGCTGCGTTGTCGTCTGGTTTCACTGATGAGTGGCAAACTCCGGTATCCCAGGTCTCTGCAGGCCTCTTGTTTAGGCTCCCCCTGGCAACCACTTCGTTCAACTGATTTTCCCAGACTGTTGGAAGCGCTGACTCGCTGGTATTGCCAAGTTTTGACATCCCTGTACTTTAATGCCGCGATCACTGATGTCCGCTCTGCCAAGGGCTCCGGGCAATGGGCGATGAAACAACTATGCCTGATGATCGGATCTTTATTTGCGGAAGACAAAACGCAGACCATGCAGAGCACTGGCGCTTCTTTGGGACTTACCCATGACCTGAGTTGCATCAATAAGACAGGTCATCTTCGTTTTTGGGCCCGCACCAGACTCCATGGCAAAGTTCGTGATGTCTTGCCACAGCACGTCAAGCAGGCCACTTTACTCGAGGCACAGCTTCCAAACTTTATAGACTTGCAATCTTCTTGGAGCAAGGTATTTCTGGGCGAGTCGGGTATCGCGGTCTCATGGCCATCAAGGCACGCAACTGGAGCTCTCTATGGTGTTATGCGCCTTGATCGAGCGCCCCGACCTTTTTCGACATCGACATGATCTCTGGTTCCTCGACAACGTTGCCGCAGTCATGACCTTGGTGAGAGGGCGCTCTAGCAATTCGGGGTTAGCAAAGCTCGGCCATTTGATCCATTTGGCTCTGTTTGCACTGCGTGCCCAGCACTTGAGGGTTCCAAACACTTGCCATGCATATGAATTGACTTTTTAAGCGAGTTTCAGTTTCCAAGTAGGGGTGATCCTACTTCTGGAAACCTGGATATTTGCGATTTCAGCAGCGCTGGCTGCTGCTGGTTTTGACTTCCCCAAGCAAGCTGGGTG